GGCTGTAATAGCTTTTTCCTAAATTGTAGATGAAGCCCCAGAAAGTAAGGTGGGTGTATTAGGAAGTAATCTCAATCATACTAATAGAACCATCTTTGAAAATAGTTGTTGTAAATGTACTTTAAAGTGTCTGACACATTTATAAATATTTAAGTGTGAAGCTGCAGTTTCCTGGGGCCTGAATGTGTTACACATGCATGAAATTCACAGCCCGATATAACCTGGACTGACTCTGTGGGTTTGAAATATTTTTAAAATGTTTGGAGATTCTTTCCGTGATGGGATGGATGCTGAGGTCCAGACCTAAAAGGCTGGTGGCAGTGGGCAGTGCGCCACCCCCCCTCCCCCAGCCTCTGCCGATAATGAATTCATCAGAGGCTTTATTTGGATAGTTAAGTTTGCTCATCCTGCTGGGACTGCAATAGAGCAGTGTGAGGGCCACTGGCCTTGAATATGCATTCTGCCACTGGACCCTCCCCTGAAGCGTCTCCCCATCCTCCCTTCACTCGCCTGTTCCGCTTTTCCTCGACGTGGTGTTTCAGCAGTGGGGCGGCCACTCACTTAAAAACCTTCTTTATTGAAGAATTGGAGCTACGGTGGGCCACAGGATGATGACCTCATTCCATAGAAGAAGCGGCAGTCAAGCAAAACAAGCAATACTTTCCATGGGGGGGGGGCGTCCTTGACACATAGGGAAGAGTGGAAGATAGGATGGTTTATTTTTACATACCATTGAGCTTGCACATGCATCTGAAAAAAGTCTGTTCTTTTTTTTTTTGCAAAGCAAAATGCACCATGTGACACAGTGGAGGAGGACGATCTATTTACAGAGAGGGTGGGATCACAACAGGAGAAGTAAAGATCCCTAACCATTTGGAGCTTTGCCTCCTGCTGGTTCACTTGGCTGCTTAAATAAGTCTTTGGGGGTTCTAGGTGTCCTAGAACATCACTTTTTATCCCTGGTCCTGGATCAGATTGTATCAGCAGATTTTCGCTCTACCGGACCTCAAAATTAAGTGTCCCTGTTTGAGCTAATGAGTGAGTGAATCGCATCATTCAAATCACAATAAAATCAAAACATTTTCAGCTAAAATGTGTGTATTTTGGAACATGCCTGTGGCAGCTACAGGTGCCAGTAATTATTTTGTATTATGAAACTAACATAAACAGTAAATTGCAACTGAATTTAATCAGCTTTTTTATTGTTTCAAGGGCTAAAATTAATTGGAAAAAATTATAAACTGTACTATTCATTTTAGAGGCAAAATAAGCTTTTAAAACCATGCTTTCTTCCGTCTTATTTATTACTGGCTTCCCTGGACCATCAGAAAGCCCATTAAACTAAAAGTTCTAGAGTTCTGCCATAGTGTGATTGTGATTTGCGGTTGCAATTGTGGGATTATTTCAATTAGCAGCTCAGTCATGGTTAATGAATCCAGGGCTGAGCTGGAGCCTGAAAGCCAGCGGAAAAAGCTGAAAAAAGTCCCCCCCCCCCCGGCTGGAGACAGTGTGCTGTCTGCCAAAGTGGAGTCCGGCCCTGCTGCACCCCCTCATTCCGTCATGGAGACTCAGTGGCACAGATTCGGGGCGGGGGGGACTTTGTTTGTGGCCTGCATCTGTGTGTCCTCAGCGGATGCCTATAAATGTCACAGCCAGATCGGTGGTGAGCTGTCTGCCTCGTCCCGTGAACTGGGCCGCCCGGCAGGATCGTGCCCCCCCCCCATAAAGCGTATGTGCATTTCAGGCAGCGCTGGTGGGGGGGGACCTCCATGCCCAGAAATGGATGACGGGCTCATATCTCAGCCCCGTCCGTTATTCCGATGCCAGACCTACTAGGAAAACTCCAAACCCCACTTTTTATTTGTGGATTAAACCCGGGAAGAGAACAGAGTTTGCTTTCTGAGATGGGACCACCTTAAACATCCATCCAGCCTCTGCACCGCTCCAGTGTAGGGTCATGTCCCATCTGAGCACATGTCCCGTGTAAATGGGGGTGGGGCCATAGGACCACTGGAAAGCTGATTGACCTACGGCAGGGGCCTCCAACTCCGGTCCTGGAGAGCTACCGTCCAGTAGGTTTTCTATCCTACCTGGCTTCTGATGAGCCACACCTGTTCTCAGGGAAATACCAGGAGCAGATGTGGCTCATCAGAAGCCAAGTGGGACAGAAAACCTACTGGATAGTAGCTCTCCAGGACCGGAGTTGGAGACCCCTGACCTACGGAGTTCCCTCTCCCCTGTAATTCACCAATTCTAAACATATTATTAGATAAGGTTGGCCTTCCTGTATGAATTATTGCCCCCCACCTAGATTCTCTGTCCCGGGGCATATATTCCCACGTTTGCCATCCATGACAAATCATCAGCATCACCCTAACAAGCCAGTCACAGCAGGATCGTAGGACTGCAAGTGCAGGGGCTGAAGGGACAGCAGTCAAGGTTCTACTGTATGTGCTACCCCCCAGACGCCCCCAACACCCTTTTAACTCTCTGCCCACCAACATATTCAGAGGTGAGAAGGAAAAATGGCATCTTCAAAAAATTGAGCATTATGTTTTCAAGGCGGAGATCCAAATTTCCTAACCGTTGGAAGTCCTCACAAGCATCGGAGTCACGGCTGCAACCTCCAGCAATCGGCTGGGATCAATGTGACGTGCGGCTTCAGAGGGACAACTCCAGTCCTTAGAAAGGGGAATTGTCAACCTTCCGGCGAGTGTCGGGGGCTGCGGTCTGCGAGCTTGCGGGAGGTGGCTCCCTGAGCAGGGGCTGCGATCTGCGAGCTTGCGGGAGGTGGCTCCCTGAGCAGGGGCTGCCGTTAGCACACGGAGGCCACGCGCCCCTCCCGCCTGGCAGGTCTCATCTAGTGGTGAGTAATGCGCTCGGGGCCTCCTGCTGCCATAAGCTCAGCGGCTCACCTCAGAAAACGCGACCCGCTGTCTTTACAGCCGACGATTCCCAGTAGGATGCTGGGTCTTGGCCCAGCTGCTCTGCATGGGTTTTCCCGCCAAACTTTAGGCCTCCGACAAGAACTATGGCGGAAGTGGCTCAAATGGCTTGCCCTTCTGACCTCAGACCTGGACACGCTCCAGCTCAGCATTTGTTGCCAAGGTGATTATGTAACAGTGCCCTACTGAAGCGGGCGAGGTGCTGCCAGTGATAGATATACACAACGATCTGGCATTGATCTCATGCGTGGGCTGATAATGGGCTGGGTCTGGTCGAGCTCAGGCGTTGCAATGATGTGACAGACTAAACGACGAGACCCTGCAATGACACCAAGGCCAGAAAACCTTCCTTATCCAATAGAAGTTCAAGATTCCACAAGTAAAGGTACAAATAAGACCAAAACAGCCATAGTCCCCAGTCCCCTAGATAAAAAAAAAACTAGGATTCTGTCAAGTGTTGTTGTCATTCCCCAAACTTCATACAGGACTTCTGTATCATACTGATTTGAGTTCTGCAGTGGTATTCCAGTGCTGACCCTGAACTGGATACACAGTTTGCTGTTACTACAAGTTAGATAGAAGGCATGAACAGGCAAGGCTGGACAAAAAATCCAAGCACTTTAAGTACAAAAAAGGGAATTAGACTAAGAAAAGCCAATCAACTAATTCCCTGAGCTAGATCACCACCTGCCAAGAGAGCCAGGTCTTCTGCCAGGTCTTCCTAGATGAAAGACAAGTTTACTAGGCTTGGGCTACGGCAGCAGGCAGGGATCTCCCTGGTCAAGACGACCTGCAGAGGACTCTCGTGTGGTGGGAGGACTCAAAACAGCATCATCATAACCTAAGGCTAACCAAGTAGAGGGTCTGAGTAACCAACAAGACAAACCTACTCATCTGGCCAAACAAGTGACACCAAGAAGTCAAGCTAAGCAAGACACTGCACTTTGATTAGCTCAGGATCCCAGACAGTGATCCAAACAGGAGTAGACAGAGAGCTGCAGTGGCTGGTGGTTTATATAGGCAGTAGAGCTCGTTAACTGCCAGAGCTTCCTGGTGTTGTCAATTTGCGTTCCCTCCTGGAACGTACAGCCCTGGAAGAGAGTTCCACTTGGTCTGTGGACAGTGTTGCAATATTTATACTATTGGAATGTCAATGGGCATTTTACTTTCCCACTGTAGAAGGGGAATTGCTGGTTTTGGAACCATCATTGGAATTAAATCCCTGTATAGTTACGTCTCAGCTTATTTTGTCAACCTGTCCCTAAGCTTGTAGCCACAGTAATGGATATTCCTTATTTCCTGGATGCTTTTGCTAGTGTTTACTGAATATACATGACTGATTTGCTGCAGATATTTCTCTGGGCTGTGCAGTCATCCTCCATTCGGTCTGATAGTTCAGTGTGTGTTCAGCAAGAAAGAGGTGAAATGTGTGTGAAAGGCCCAGATACTTAATGGTTTAACTTCTTTATTTTAATAATTCAATCATCAGATAGCAGTATTATGGGTTTGTATAGCTCAGAGGCGGTGTCCGTCTCTGCAGGCTAGGTCTCTATGACTATGACTGTAAGGTTGCCGGTTTGATTCCTGTACCCACATCTGGGTGGGGGGCTGAACCTGTGCTCAGACCCCAAGCTTTGCTCTCACCTCTATATGCGTGTGTGTCTGTTTGTCTTAAAGAAAGTGCCGAGCAGGATGGGATAACTGAAAAAACACATTCCAATGCACTTGTGCAAATGGAGCATGTGCAACATTTATGTTAAAGATGTTGTTCAAGGGTACGACTGTTTTGGAACTCAATCTGCAGCCTTGTATTTTTTAGTTACAGTTTTTTAGGTGACATTTTTTGTGTTTTTTTATTAGAAGTATAATGGGAGAATGGCAGTTAATGCTGTTATATGACGTCACCAGGCTTAATGCAGTCTTGTTCTGTCTTCCCCATCTCTGTCTCTCTCTTTCTTTCTCTCTGTCTGTCTCTTTCTCCCTCTCTACCTCTATCTGTCTATCTCTGTCTCTGCCTCCCTCGTTCCCTCCTTCTCCCTCTCTGTCTCTCTGCAGGTTCCATCACAAGGTGCTCCTTCATCAAGTACCATTACTCCTCGGCCACTATTCCAAGAAACCTCTCCTACAACATCACCAAGACCATCCGTCAGGATGAGTGGCACGCCCTGCGTAAGTGGGATTCTCCCTCGGCGCTCCCCGCAGGCCGCAAGCGGTCGTGCGTCTGCTGAGACTGTGTGGGCACTCGTCAGTCTTTAAGATGCTAATTAAGCTAAGAACAAGACCCTGCCGAGCAGCTCCTGCCTTAATTGGGCCTGAACGAGCTGTAAATATACATTTAACCGGCCGTAATGATTTGGAAGGATCCCCGTTTCTGCCAAAAATGCCAGACGTTTATTCTTATTAGTAAAAAAAAACAAAACTCATATCAAAGGCATTTCTTCAGTGTCTGTTTGTCAGATACCTGTTATGAAACAAATTAGTGATGCTTGGTGGAATTTAATCTGCTCTTGTGTTTTTTTGGTCCAGAAGCATTAAGCGGTGTGATTATAAGATAAACCTTCCCTCATCTGACAAATATTACAGTGTTATTTATCCAAGGATATAGCAGCATAGGGAAACCAGAAGCATCACACGATTCTTTGGATGGATTTGACACAGAATGTTTCACGCCCATTTATTTTTTTGCGATGAATTTGCCTTTAATTTCACATAGCTAGTGTGACGGTCCGTGTTGACAGTGGCTATATATAATTCAGTTTTCCCCATTACATACATTATTAATATACTCATGAGCTTACGAATGAAAGCACAGGATTGGTTCTGGATTTACTAATACTACTTAGCCACTTTGTCCCTCATCATAGCTAATCCACCGCCATGTCGCCGTTCGTAACGTGGCTTCCTGGAGACCAGTGCTTTTTATTAGAGTCCAAGAGGGATCGCTTTAGAAATTTATTTAGGTTGTAATCTGTGTCCGTACTGCTTCCACTGTTGTAATAATTTCATATCGATCCTCCGTACATGCAATTTTTCTTTGCTCATATAAAGAACAATCACAAAGAAGCAATTAGAGAATGATGCTGTGTTTTGGTGACTCATAGCTCCCTTCAAACTGGAACATCTGCGATGCCTTTAAATGAGAAACACTTACCACAGCTCATTCAGCCAGATGTGAAAAGCACATCTGTGTCCCCGTTTTTCGGGAGCTTGGGTGACGCTATTCTCTTGTGAGCCTCTCCACATCGGTGTTTAAGTCATGCTATTTCTGTATGGAGACGATGATGATGGACACAGATGGTGGTATTTTGGGAGTGACTGTTTTAAAATGGTGACAGGGTATATTTTAGCCTGCCTTAATCTAGGAGAGATGCTGCTTGAATTTAACTACGAGCCGCTAACCGCAAACCGCTAACAATGAGCCGCTAACTACGAGCCGCTAACTACGAACCGCTAACTACGAACCGCTAACTACGAGCCGCTAACTACGAACCGCTAACTATGAGCTGCTAACTCCTCTGGTTGCTGAATACTTGAGACAAAGTACTGGCACACTTTGCTAATGTCGCTAAACACTACGCCTAGCTCGGCTATAAAGGAACAGCGGGTGATGGGCGCTTCTGAAACATTTTCACTCGACTGAGCAGGGGAGATGCAGCGCAGACCAACGGCCTAGCTCAGACTCTCCAAGACTGGGAATAGGAAGGGGGCCAGACCCAGATGGGGTCATAAAAAGGGGACCGAAACGTTCTGCCATCAGGAACATCTGGGGCGAATCGGACTCCTCGGGTCCTGATCACCTGATTACCATATCATCGCCGGGGGTCCCTAGACTGGCAGCAAGCATGATGTATTACACCGCAAGGGGGTGAAAGGTGGGCCCTGATGTTGCTGTCCCGATGATCCATGCGCAAGAGAAGATGTCACGCTTACGGCCGATATCACGCCGATGTAGCAGGAGTCCGGCGTGACAAATTGGAAACCTGAGGGCCGTGGAAACGTCCACCACCGGCGATGGGGTGGGACGGCCAGTCAGCTTTTCCGGAATAGAGAGGCCGGCCAGACCTCTGGATGGGTCCCGCTGGCCTGGCCCAGCATCGCCTCAGGGTGTCTGATCGCATCCAAAAGCTCCCCGTTAAGAGGGGGGAGTGTGCTTCTGCGTGGGAGGTGGCAGAAAAAGGACAAAAGGCATAAACACAAAAGCGGCCCATCGGATGAGGTAGGGTGGGGTGGGGGGGGGGGGGGGGTTTGGCTTTTTTTAGCTCCGGATCAATAGAGTGCCCTGGGGCCCCTGGTAACATGGAAGTTTTCACCCACCCAATAATAATAACAAGTAGTCCCGGTAACACCGGCAGCTCTGCTGGTTCCTCTAACTGCGCAGAGCTGAGTTTCGATGAGTCGTGGACCTGGAAGGCCTATAAGACACCAGGAAGTGGGGGGGGTGGGGTGCTGAAACGCAGCAGATCCGAGATTAATCGGGGGCTGACTGCCACAGCGACGCATGTGCCGAGCAGCAGCCCGGCTCACACGCATTACCTCTGAAGTCGGGGTGTGTTTCAGAAGGCAGGCTTCTTGAAGGACACCACAGAAACATTAGCTCATTTATTCCTCGTTTGCTTTTTGTCAATCAAACACCGGAAAGCCGTAATGAAAATCAAGCCAAGTAGAATATTTTTATAGCTAAGCATTTATGCAACAAATGACAATAAACATGGTGATCACAAAATAATGGGAAGAAAGTCCTGTTACGGTGTGAAGCACTTTTTATTTTGGATTGAATGATTTTTAAAACCATATCTAAAATACTTAGAGAAGCTTAGGCAGTTCTGTGACATCAAAGGGGGCTGCAGAATGAACAAGAAGGACTAGACAATAAGCATGTCTTATTTTTATTCATGGGGTTACAGATACTGAAGATACATCCTGAAGACGAAGCAGGAGACCAGTGGTCACAAAACACACCTTCCTGTGATTACAGAACCAATGGTCATAGAGGACACCTTCCAGTGGTTACAGAACCAATGGTCATAGAACACACCGTCCAGTGGATACAGAACCAAAGGTCAAATAGCACACCGTCCAGTGGTTACAGAACCGATGGTCATGGAACACACCGTCCAGTGGTTACTGTACCAATGGTCAAAAAGCACACCATCCAATGATTATGGAACCAATAGTCCTAGAACATACTGCCCAGTAGTTACAGAACCACTGGTTATACAACACACTGTTCTGTGGTTGCAGAACCAGTGTTCATAGATACACTGTCCACTGGTTGCAGAATCAATGGCTGTAGAACATCTATTCCTGTTATTATAGAACCAGTTCTAATAGAACATACTGCCCAGTGGTTGTGGAAGCTTTGGCTGTAGAATACACCATTCACTGGTTGCAGAACCAGTGCTTACAGAACACACTGTCCAGTGTTTGCAGAGCTAGTGGTTACAGAAGTAGTGGTTACAGTACACACTGTCCAGTAGTTATAAAACCTATAGTCATAAAATACACTCTCCAGTGGTTGCAGAACATAGCAGTTATAGAACCTTTGGCTGTAGAACTCGCCATCCAGTGGATGTAGAGCCGGTGGTTGTATAATACACTATCCAGAGGTTGCAGAGCCAGCAGTCTCTTAGGCTTATATTTGGTGTCATTAAGCTGTTTTGTTTGTGTCCTTGCTTTAAACCCTCACTCACTTACAGACGGTCTGTTTGCCATGAGTGGCCCGCCCCCCTGCAGCGACTGCGACCACGCAGCCCGGCATGCAGCCAGACTGTTGGCCCAGTGCCTCAGAGTCGCATTACAGGCAATATGGGAAACATTTAAAACAAAGTCAGAAAGTGCTCTTACCCCAGGCAAAAGGGTGCATGAGTAGGGCGGCCAGCAGGGGGCGTCGGTCAACCCAACGCTACAACAGCACAATACGCCAGAACTTTGTAGAAGGCACTTCCATGGAGTATCAGGAACCTTTATAAGAAACCGCATCCAGTGGTCCTAAGATACCCCAGATGTCTCACTGCTCTCTTTCTCACTGCCGTCTGTCCCTCAGAGCCGTGCTGATGTGCCCAGCAGCCACAGCACACATCACTGCTTTAGCATATGGGAAGAGGGCAGTGAGTGAATGCCTATGAATATGGATCATCTCCCCTAAACTGATGGCCTACCTGCCCCTCCCATACAGAGTAATCATGCATGGGTGCTCTGAGGGCCACGTTATGTTCATGTGGGCTTTTGGCTGTGACGCAGGGTGCCATGTCGCTATTCAGCTCCATCAATGACCTGAGCTCTCCCTCTCGTGCGTTTATCGTGCTCTGAGAGGAAAACACCATGTCATCCAGTGGCAGTTTAAGCTAAACTATAGCACCTCAAGTCGTTTTACCACCAGCAGCGGGGCTGTTTGCTATCACTCAAACTGTGCATTTGTATGGGGCCCTGAAGGTTAGGGGGCCCCCTATCGGCCACAAAGAGTCATTGAACTAGGAGTGGTGTGGGGCCCCAAAAACAGCCATCTCTGACCGGCACACAGATGTTCAGCCACCAGTAAATACTTTTGTAGCTGTGCAGGAATTGATGGGGTAATGTGAGGTTGCCTATGTCCTATCAGAGTGAAAGCTTCATATTAAAAGTATATACTGTGTATCATATTCATATATGCTATCCGTGCTGTATATAGCATGGGTATGTAATACTGTGGACTGTACATTGTGTGTAATTACTCATCACTTATGAGTATTAGTGTTAAACAACATGAGCACCTGTGTTTATACTGCAGGGGCAGCACTGTGACTCACTGTGTAGTGCTGTAGTGCTGTAGCCTCACACCTTCAGGAGCGTCAAATCCCTTCCCAGCCTTGCGTGGTTTGAGCACACACACACACACACACACACACACACACATACTGTGCACATTCACTCTGGTTTCCACCCCCACGTTCCTCTTGCGGCCCCTACGCTTGAGGTGGATAGACGCGGCCACAGTGTCCCCCGCAAGCGTACGTGTCCCGGTCAGGTCGTCCCCTGGGACTGGCTCCGGCCCCAGGGTGTCACTGCATTGGATAAGCACTTTACAAAAAAAAAAAGCGGACAGATTTTCCTATAAATATAGACATGAATAAAGGTGTGTGTGTGTGTGTGTGTGTGGTTATAACATGGCTGGGTATGATGCCACTCTGTTC